AAAAGCATAGTTTATCAGTCAGATGTAGAGTTAAATAGCGCAGTTATAGTAAAAATTATGACAAATTACATAACATCAGCAATCCTGAAAAATTAAGGACTTTTTTAACAGAAGACTGTCACTGCAACACCAATTTGTATAAAAAACTAGTCAGAGGCTAAAATAGCATTACATCTAAAACGATTAACCTGAGGGTACATAGAGAGGGAGAGAGGTAAACTCTTCTCTAAGCTTGCTTTGAGGAAGACATCTAAACTGCTATAATCCAGCACAGTTTCCTTTGCTTTTGATTATCAGCTTCTTGTCGAACATTTCACAATTTCGCATCCCACTACATCCAGACAACTGGTAGAATTTATGAAGCAAATTCCTTGAGAAGTTGTGGACAATGGTTTCACTAGAAAAATAGGGTACCTGAAACATTACAAAATTTCCACTCACGTTTGTCAATAACAATCGTACTTCCTGCTAACCAAGACGTCTTCTGACTTAGATTTCAAGCTTGGGCGTGGGTTAGGCTTAAGCTTAGTTTAAATCTAAGCCTAACTCACGCCTAAGCATGAAGGACATGCTTAGACTACACCTGAGCTTGTTATGCTCATTGTTTGTGCATATGTGTTGCTTTAAGAAAATACTTGTCTGACTGAATAAAAATTATATGTGCTTTGGAAAATGAAATAAGGAAAAATAGAATTGTGGATCTGAGAAAGAAGTTCTAAAAAAATAAGTGCTACATTTTAGTTTTTATGATTGCTGTCTGTGCACTGCAAAGGGTCTGAGACTTTTCTATTCCTTATATATGTCATAGGAAAGACCTGCGTAGCTCGTGGATTGCCATTATTTGGTCTTAGTCAGTTACAAAGGAGAAAAAGCAAATCACCAGTGGAGGTTGAGTGAGATGAAAATAAGCATAAAAGAAGTCAGAATAAGTAAAAAAAAATTTTGATATTTTTTGAGACAACTGAACTCTGTATGACTTTTCTTTGACTTATCATTTGATTTGTACTTTTTCAGATTAGATCACGATCTAAAGGTCAAAAGTCTTTATGTCAGGTAACTAAAGATATTTCATCTTTTAATAGACTTCATTTTTTGAGAATATTTTATGAAAATAAACAAAATATGAAATTGTTCAATACTTCTGCAGTTTTTTTGTGATACTTTTGTAATCAGTAAAGCTAGCAGCTGTTAAAGTGCAAAAGGAAATACAATGTTGGTTAACAATATAAATGGAAGTGATGTTCTGACCCGATTGCGCATTCTATTAGTTTATTTAATTTTTTGTGAATACTATCCATGTTTCTTAACTTTATTTTTTACAATTCCAATCAGATATTCAGCTAAACAACATTAAATTGAAAACAACGAAATGATTCTTGTCAAAGTTAGAGATCTTATGCGACGATACAAAAACTTCAAGAGATTTTAAGGTTTTCTGAATGCTCTCTACAGCCACATAAACAGCAAGCATTGTGATATATTACTGAAAAAATACCATAACATTTTCTACAGAGGAAGAAGAAGCAACATATTTACTGCAAAATTTCGCTTTAATTGTTTACTACTTTTTTTGTTCCCTACAGTATTCACAAAAAAAAGCGC